TTATTCTTATAATTAAAGGGCTAGTTATTCTTATAATTAAAGGGCTAGTTACTTTCTAAAATACTTATAGTTATATATAGCATTTCTATAAAGTTCTAATCTTTACCTAAGGTATTAGAGATATACTTAGAAGAGAAAGTACTAAACCTTATATCTAAAGTTAAATATATAAAATATATACTTAGATAGTAATTCTAGAGAGGTTATAATAACCTATATATTATTAAAGCGTATTAGGTAAATATAGAGGGGATATAGCCTATATTACTTATCTACATTACGTAGGTTTAAAATATATATAGTAGGTTTATAGAGAAGCTTATTTTCTACTATATTATACTATAATATAGTAGTAGTATATAGGGTATAGCTTACCTTATTAATATCTTATTATAAAGTATTTACTAAGTAACTATATATTCTACAGCCTATCTTACTTAGAAAGAGCGTATTTATTAATAATAAAATAAGATATACATATTACGTTCCTAACTTAATAATAAATATAGGCTACGCTAATAAGATTTATAATCTTATTAATAGTTATCTATTATATAGTATTATTCTCTTTGTCTATTTTATAGGGATATAGTAGCTAGCTATTAACTAACTCTAGTAGCTATACCTTCTAGTATCTAACTATACCTACCTACTTAGAACTGTTGTATAGGTCTTTAAATAACGTAATAACTATACTAAATAATAACTATATTAATTACTTATAGATATTTAGTAATAGGTCTATATAGTATATAATAAATACTATACTGCGTAAGTTATTACTTTAGCTATAAGAAGAGATTATACTAAGTTTTAATCTATTTAGAAAGATATAATTCTAAAATATTACTATATCTTATAGTAAGGTTTTAGTATACTAAGTAGTATTAACGTCTTTTATCTTATCTAGCTTCTATTACTATTAAGAATCTATAAGTATACTTATTTTATCTATAAAGTTATATATATTATTTTACAAATTATTATTATCTTAATATACTATATTATTATCTCTAATAAAGTCTATACGCTTATCTCTACTCTACCTTATATAAATATATTATTTCTAAATAAGCGTATTAATTTCTGTACTTTTATACTTATAACTAGTAGATATAGTAAACCTCTTTACTATATAGAGAAATTACTTAAGTAACTATTAGGTATAGTAAAATAGGAGACTAAAATCTTATATATTCTGCCTAAGGTAAAGTAAGTAATAATACTAGATAGTATATAATAGCAGTAGGTCTAGATCTCCTTAATAATATAGATTCTTATACTTATATATAAACGCCTATACCTATTTCTTAACCTTATTAA